CCCCAAAACCCCAAAACCCCAAAACCCCCTTAGTGTCTGAGTTGATGTATTGGAGTTAAAAAAATTAATTTGGATTAAATTAAAAATGATAATAGATGTCACTAAGAATGAGTACCTTGGCCTTAAAGATGACTATTTTAAGCCTCTACCACCTGTCAAACTTTACAAAAAGATTACTTTACGCAAATAAAATAGAATCGAAAAAAAATTTAGAAGTATTTAGAATCAAAGTAATAAAGAGAGGAATGCGATTATTGACACGTTGAGGAATCCTGTATCATAAAGAGCATTAGTGCATGCCCCAAGCTTCATCTAATAAGAGTATAAATCTTAGTTCAATAGTCGCAAGCAAAGCGTTTAGTAGTTGACAGTAAAGGGGATGCCCTCACCTGTGTTTGAGTAATCAGGACAGGGAGAGATATAGTTCCTGAGCACTTTTGATGACTATCAAACTGAGCAGTTGCAAACACACCCGGAAGCAAGTCCTAGGTCCATCAGACATAGAAACTAATCTGACTTGCTAAAGTAAAAAGACATCAAACATACCCCAAATGTCAAACTGCAATTAGAAATGACGAATCAAAAACTTATAAGTGTAAAAAAGTCCAGTATTCACTATCCTAATCACAGCATGAATAGTGGCAATATGCTAATAACTGCTAATGGAGATAACACTCTAAATCATTCAGTAACTGGCACAGCGTTGGGCCTTAATTTTACTTCCGAAAGCAGGCCTAAGAAGCTTAGGTTTAATTTCTAAAAAACTTAGGACAACATAGTAGTAAGAGATCTAAAGAGTGATAGGTCTAAGCATAATTTTATCTAGAGACCTGAATAAATATTGGATGGCTACAATAACAAAAGATCTAGGTTTAATATAAGAATACCAGATTATAGAAATCTTGAGAATGAAAAACAAAGGATAGTGTTCGCTTAGAACTCAACTGAATGGAGGCCTCAGGAGTTTTAATTTCCATCAATATCCCGCAGAGATATAAATACTTAATCATCGACAGAAAGGGAATTATTTGAAAGACTCATGATAAGATTAAATGATATTGGGTTCAATAGAAATAATGTATTACTCTCTAAAATCAATTACAATTGAGATTCAGACTGTAAAAGTCACTACATTACTTATAAGGAATTGATTAAAAAAGCGAAGGATATAATCCTGTAAAACTTTAATATAATGCATAATATTTTGAATCTATTATTTATCCTAACTTGAACTTATAATTATCAATGGGGTTTTGGGGTTTTGGGGTTTTGGGGTTTTGGGG